GTTGGTTATTAGATGCTGCTCCAGCCAGCCAGAGAATCCCCCGCCGCAACAACCCGCGCACCTCGCAAACGGAGGGCGCCCTTACTCCCAGCAAACGGGCGATAGAAAACCGATCGGTGCCTGTGCCATTCCCAATATGCGCTGGCATGATGTCGGAGCAGCATGAGTACGAGTAAATTTTTATTTTTTTCCGATGCCCGTGATGCCGCCCCGGTAAACCGCCTGTGTCGCCCGTATCAAAAACCGCTACTGTGTTCACCCCTACGCGTCCAAACTGCAAATGAATCGCACATGAAGCCGCTGCTCCCGCCCTGACTATAACAGTCAGTTCTTCTTTTACTCTTACTTTTTGTGGATCACAAGGTTTAAAACTACTTTAAAAACACACACAAACAAACACAAAAAGTAACTCCGCCAGACTGCCTATTTCGGGTTACTTTTGCCGGTACCAAGCCTGGATAAAGGAGGAGAGTTGGAATTGTGACATAATAAAAAAACAATAATTGCTAAAAGAAATTTAATTTGTAGTTCTAAATATATCCTAAATGCATTTAGGCTGTTTTTTACTGACTTTATGTCTCTTCCACAATGTTATTTCTCTCTCCTACAACATAGTTTGCAAATACATAAGCATCACCAATTATGCTAATTAAGTGATGACGTCATTTAGCGACTTCTAGCGACTTTTAGGACAACCAATAGCGATTTTCCTTACTGAGGAGTTGGCAACACTGCTGTCAAAGTTGACAAAATTAAGGAAACCTGCTCTTGCTGGCCATTAAGAGAAGTCTGAATCGCGAGCTTCAGGGATTATTTGCACATACTCTGAGGTCTTTATATAAAACTTTGGCTATGTTTATTATGAGCGTCCAGCACTGTAATGGTATACTCTGTATGCAATAGAAAATAATGCTAAGTAGAATAGAACCACTCAAAACATGTTCCTTTGGCCTGTGCTGCCCTCTGCTGGTAATATTTTATACTTTATTTAAACTGAATCTATCCCCCCTGCAGAAGCCCTGCTATTGTGGATTTGTTTATGTGTATTCTTATATATTTATACACGTTGTTCTGTCCATATTCATTCGTAACTTAGAATTTTTTAAGCTTTTTCATTTTTTTCACTGCTCACTCTGTCACCTCTTTGCTGTCTGTTTATTTTCTGTCATTAATCCATGTGGCTGTCTTAATAAAAAGATTCTCATTCTGCTTTGCTCCTCCATTTCATTTCCTTTTCATATCATTCCTCTGATAATCATAGCTTTTTGATATTCACCTTTCTCTGCCATCCTCTTCACTTATAGTATTAGCTTCATCTTCACTTTTTTATTGAATGGATGAGCTCTTTAGAGAAAAGGATCTAAAATACTTTTTGTTCTTAATTGCATGAATTACTGGCTGACACTCTGAGATATGTGTGTGCACAATATCGGTTTTGTTGCTGTTACTGCTAGTTACTTCTCAGTTACATATAATTCTTAAAACCTGTTAACGTAGGAATGCCTTTTAAAATGCTAACAAGTATTTTCAGGAGATTTAAGGTATAAAACATCTGCTGAAGGTAAAGCAGCCAGTTGAAAACGTTTCATATTCCCCTAAATGTTTTTTTGACTGTGTGTTTGGAGATGGTGCAGGTGGAGTTAAGTACATTAAGTTAAATCCACTTCTCTCCACCAGGATCTGCCACTCTGCACCACTGGCAGCAGTTAGCCCAGCCTCACCTGGGTGTGATCTTGGACGCCAGGCCAGGAGTTGTGCCAAAGGGCTACAGACCTCTAGAACTAGAGCTGGAGCAGGTCTGTGTGTGAGGTTTCTCTGCGTGTATCTGTTGTGTTCACGCTAAACCATCTCCGTTGATTACATGTACCGCTGTATTGGTTTAAACGTAGGCCCATCCTCTGGTAACGAGAATCAAACCTTATCACCTGTAAAGCACTCCTCTCCCTTCCCTGCATGGCTCTTTGTTTGTGTTAAGGCGTACCCATGGGGCGGCTTTGAGGAGGATGAACCAGGAGAGCAATACTTCCAAAATCTTCCCACCTCCTCAGCTTCTGCCTCACCGGCAGTGGCCCCCACCTCCAGTACAAGTGACGCCAACCTCGTACAGCCTTCAGTCACCCTGGCCCCACCTTCTCCGCCCTCACCATCACCACACCTCAGCAACACCGATGCTCTGGGTGAGGACATATAGCAAATTTTCATTGACTCTAAATACATTATACTGCCAAAAGTATAATTAAGAATGGATTTCACTCAAGTTTATATGCGTGTGAAGGTGAGCAAACACTTCTGGCAGTATAGTGCATAAATACTTCCACTTTGTTGAACATGTATAAAAGGCTAAAATGTGGTGACTGACAGTGACGGGCTGTGTGTGTTTGACTTCCAGCTGCATACTACCCAGGTAAATGCATGGCTCACACCAGCTCCACTTACACCTTTACAACCTGTCGGATCCTCCATCCAACTGATGAGCAGACGCGGGTTACGCCAAGGTGAGTGGCATCATTAAGTGTCTGTGATCAGAGTCGACTCTTTGTTATTATTCGAGCCACTGAAAGTCACACATAGTGTTAGTTCAGGCAGGTGATGAGGATAACAGTTCTCACTATGGGCACACTCTTTAAGCTCCTTTAGCCTGCCTATACCTGGTCCACATCTGCATGCTGCTTTGTAACCCACCTCCTCCCCAGCATAACCTTTTAATGCTACTCTACTCAGAGCCGGGGGCTTGTTGCTGCTTCCCAGAGCCATGGACATCATTGCACATTGAAATATATTTTTTCTTTTTAGAGTGACCCTGACTAAATTTATCTATAACTGACTCCTGCAGAGTTGAGCTTTTCTGCTAAAAATGGTCTTAAAACGACGCTTAAAATGAAACTCTGGCTCTGAGTTTTCTTTGTATTATTGTAGGGTCTTTACCTTACAATAAAATAAAAAAAATGGAGTAATTCATTTTTATAAAAATTAGGAAATGTTTTTCTTCGAGAAGCTCACCCTTTTAGAAAGTTAAAACTGCACTTAATGCCACTTCACACACTGTAGTGACAAGAAAAATTAAGTGGGAAAAAACGAATGCAGTTCTTAAAAAAAGTCATTTAAATACGCCGTTCAGATGCATCATGTTTCTAGAAGCCGAAAGAGTGCTAAATGTGCACTCATTCTGAATTTGATTGGATCTCACAGGACGGGTCTAGGCAGGACACTTAGTCAGTTTTCTGATAGACAGTGGGAAGGTGCTGAATTATACATGCAGCTGCTTATATTTTGAACACCCGCTGTAGTTCTGGTTTTAATGATGAGACCATCTGAAAGTGTGATTTATATATTTATATTTTTTTGTTAACCTAGATGAAATCTTCTCATTCCCTCCAGTTTAAACCCAGTGCCTGCATCGTCCTCCTGTGTGATGACCAGCACTCTGCTGGGTACTCCTGCTGCTACTCCCTGCACGTCCCGCAGGCTCAGTCTCAGGCCCTCTGAATCCTCAACTAACCTCAGGCAAGAAACTGCATATTCTGACATTTTCCTTTTTATTTAAAAGACAAAGTAAAATCAAAAGATTGTTTTAGCTAATTTCATATTTTATATAATGTCATATTTAATTGAGTGCATATAAAAAGTAAGTTTGCATTCAACTGCATGAGATCACAGACTTGTGGTATTGTAAGCATTAATGCCTTCCCTCTCTGTCGGGCTGAATGCTTCCTTTGGTTGACAGGTGTAGTTCCTTGGTTATAGCTGGCTGTTTATTTGGATAAATAATCAGCAGTAAAACTATATGCATTTGAGTTTGGTGTGAACTGTTCCTCTAAGAAAGGACATTATGTGTGTATTTTGTCTCATGTCTGTGCAGAGATGCTACACGCACCACTAGCACCTCCCTGGGGTTGGTACGTCTTCTCCAGGAGAGGGGAATCTCTGCAGCTGTGTATCACCAGAGCCAGGGCCTGGAGCAGGGTCAGGGCAGCGGAGGAGTCCTATTAAGCACCTCCATTGCCCCCAACCGAACACCTAATCCCGATCCTATGCGGCCCTCGACCCCTCCAAACTCTCCCACAAGACAGGGAGCTTCAGCTGTGCCAAGCTCCGCTGGGTTTGACTTCAAGAGTCCTTCTTATGAGAACTTCCTGGCTTCCAAACCAGCCCGTTCCATCCTGAAGGAGGTGACAGGGGGGATGAGAGGCAGGCAGCGAGGCAGGGACTGTGAAAGCCAAACAGACGTTAGCGTGGCCGTCCACAATCTGAACCTGGTAGACAAGGTGAAGCGTCTGGGTGTGGCTGGAGCCCCCGGAAGCAGAGCGATGAGCCCTGGTCCCATGCTAGGGCCTCTGGGTGGACTGCGTAGATCTGGCTCCCCTTTTGGACCTGATGGAATGAGGAGGAACCGGAGTTATCCAGGCATGGTAGGAGCCAGCATGGTCATGAAAGCCCCAGGGCCCCAAGAGTAGTCTGGATAGCTGCTGGCCAACAGGGTAGATGAGTAGGAGCCCAGCAGGGCCAAGGACTGGCTGTTGATCAGTCACCTGGAGCCCATAAAAATATTCCCACTGTACAACAGCAACATGGCACTACTGACCTATTTCTAATCACAGCTACAGTTTTACACAAACACTACACCTCTGTAGTGCTTTACAGTGGTGATTCACGCTTGAACGAAGAGAAAAATAACTTAAAGGGTTAGTTCATCCAAACTACACAGCAACATCTTCTATACTGTCTGTGCTGTACTTTTGCTTTTGTGTGCCCAGATTTTGAGATATTGCTAAAATGACCGGACAGATTGGAGGCTCTTCTGTGTAAGCACTGAACAGTGACATTTAAAGACTTTCAGTTATTAAATTAAACGGTGATGACGAAGCTTACATTCTTTCTAGCTTTAACAGGTCTGAATTAAAAATTTTGCCAGAATTCCTGCCGAACTGAAAACAAGTGCTCCCACGTCACCTGCATTCATCTTCATTTTTATAAAAATTTGTGTTTTTCTTCGAGAAGCGAACTCTTTTTAATTTAATTATGTAAAAATTAAGGGGAAAAGGCTAATGCAGTTTTAGGGGGAAAAAAGTCATTTAATTATGCCGTTCAGGTGCGTCATGCTTCTAAAAGCCAAGAGTGCTAAATGTGAATTCGATTGGATCTCACAGGACGGGTCTAGGAAGGAACACTTGGTCAGTTTTCTGATAGACAGTGGGAAGGTGCTGAATAATACATGCAGCTGCTTATATTTCGAACACCTGCGGTAGTTCTGGTTTTAATGATGAGACTAACTAAAAGTGATGGAGAGGCTCACCTTCTCTCTAGCTGCAACAGGTCTGAGTTTAAATTTTTGCCAGAATTCCTGCAAAATTAAAAACAAACACACCCAACCTCAGCTTTATTTTGACTTTAACTCTTAAGATGGTAACTAGTTTCTTCCATGTCAGTGAGCAACAAATGCTTCTTATTAATCTAAAGTGGAAAACTGACAATATGTCTGCACCGAAATAAAAACACATTTACTTAAAGTTTTCTTAATCGGAAGCTAATAATATACATAAATATTTTGTCATTTTCTAATGCCCACGGATTGATCAGGAAAGAATTTATAGCATTTACATGCCATTAAGGGAGGAACCCTTAATGGTAGCTGTTCCCACCCTGTGGTGACATAAAGAATTGATGCAAGCAGCAGAAATGGGTCTCACTTAGAAATAAGGGGAGGAGCTTAGTTATTCAGGCGGGACTTGGAGGACTACTACTCCACATCAAAAGGAGGCAGTTGAGGGGGTTCAGGCATCTGAATAGGATCACCTGATGACAAGTCCTACCCGGAGGAGGCAGAGGATGTATGGATGGATGCACAAGCACCCCCTATGAAATGCTTTTGAGCATCTGGAAGTCTTTCCTTGTCATTGTTAGCATGTTGAGTTTTGCATGTAAGTCAAAGCACTCTTTATAGAGCTGCTGTAATCTCTGCTCACTCTCTAATATTCAGATATCTAAAATTCTGGACACACAAAGCCAGTTTTATGTAACTTAATTTTACATAATTGGGTGAACTGACCCGTTAAAACAGAATACACTGAAAGCGAGCTACTGAAATATCACTCAGATTCCTGCTTTGGAGACTGACTCTGCTGGCTAGATGTAGTACTCCCACTCTTGCCTTTTCTGAAACACATCCACAGAATCCCACGCACATCCAGACTCACACAGGTGCACTCTGCTAAATCTTCCATGCACTGGCTGGCTATTTGTAGTCACTGTAGCACTGAAACATGCCTTTCTACTTCAATACTAGCAGATGAAAATTTCATAAGTGGTTTTAAAAAAAGTACACCGAATTCATAAAATATGTCATCCTCTGTCTCTCTCTCCTTTCTTTTGAAGGGATTAAGTGTGAGTCTGACGAGTCACTTTCACTAAATCATCAAATAGATTTCACGCCAGTGTTAAAGGTACTTCAGTTTCATTTTCTAAATGGCCGTTAGACAGTAAAGCTGATGGTACTTCCACTGAACTGGAGAGATCAATACACTGAGGGATTGCTTTATCGTGGTTGGAAGCTTTCAGCTATTTTTCCCTTATTGTTTTATGGTTGAAGAGAATGAAGCAATACAGTGCCTCAGCCTTGTGTTTTGTGATTTTTCCCTTGTCATGCAGGTCCAAAGGCGCTCACGCAACCATAGTTTGCACTTGTGTTTATTTATTTTTAAAAATCCTGATTTTAAGATATCTTTTTTGTAAAAAATAGCATTGTCTTACAGACTGTATATATATATACTGTTCACAGTCACTATAATGTCATGTGTAGATGAACCATTATTTGTAGTGCTTTAACCAAGAACCACACATTGCTGTAAGTATCTGGGTGAGCATGTAATCAGGGTTTTTCCAAATAAAAAGTCATCAAACAATCATTTATTAATAGGATTTCTTTTCCCTTTCTGTGTGATGGAGTTTTAAAGCATGACTCAGAATTGAAGAGGGGGTAATAACGACGTAAAGAAAAGCCACACACGCAGGAAATGATTACTTGGCCTCCTCCAGCAGATGGTGCTCACAAATAACTCGACACGCGACGGCGAGGATGTGTATTGCGTTCATCTGTCTGTCTACAGTCATCATCCATTACCCATTCACCATCTGGATCTCGTGGAGGGGATATGACGAAGGCTGCTTATTAAACTTAGGCTGGCCACAGGTGAATGAGAGGTGAGCAATAACCAAAAAATGTCACAGTGGCAGGCGGCGAGTCTAATTAGAAAAAATAAACTGGTTTCAAATGCCAGTGACGTCGCTCATGTCAGATATTTGTCATCTTACAGAAGCACTTTGATAATCTTATTTCATAACCTTATTTTTGTTGGATGTAATGACACAGCCCCAACAGATGAGCTTTGGTACCTGTCATATACCAGACGAGCTCATTTTAGGTGACAGTGGACAGGATGTCTGGAAGCATCATTTTTATTCAATAACTGACACCCAGACTACTCTCACAGGATTTAGTGTTTATTAAAGGCTTGGGGTATTTGTTTGTTTTTTAAAATTTACCATACAACATTGTTTCTCTGCAATGTCTTCGCTTAGCCCCTGGATTGCAGACTGCTTGGTGGTCTTTATAAATGCTGGGCTATGATTGGTTGTTAACCAGTTCAAGTGCTGACATTCAAGCCCCTCGCAGTAGTTCCTCTTGAAAGTCAAACACCTAAATAAAAAGATTTTTTTCCTGTGCATGTTTCCTTTTTCCCACTCGAATGTGGAAGAATGAGTGTCTGGACCTGATTTGTGCAGATGAGTGGGGGGAAAGCACCTAAAACAAACAGGATGATATTCTCGAGAAATGGGATTAGTAGCTTTTCCTGATCGCAAAGATGTGCACTACAGTGAGTGAAAAGATTACTTATTGATGGGAAACATCCCTCTGAATTTTTGATTCAGTAGCATCACACAATTGCTGCAGATTTGTCTGCTGCACATCCGTGATGGGAATCACCTCTTCCACCACATCCTAAATGTGTCTCCTTAGGTACTTGCCTGAGATTTGGTGACCATAGAAACCATTTAAGTGCAGTAAACATCCGGTCATGTTGAAGAAAACAGTCTGAGATGATTTGAGGTTTTGAGACATGGAGCTGTATCCTGCTGAAAGCAGCTATCAGAAGATGCGTACACTGTGGTCATAAAGGGATGAACATGGACTCGCGTAGGCTGTGACGTTTAAACAATATTTAATTGATACTAATGGACCTAAAGTGTGCCAAGAAGATATCCCCCCCACCATTGGATGGATCCATGCTTTATGTTGCTGCCAAATTCTGATCCTGTCATCAGCAGAAATCAAGGCTCATAAGACCAGACGACATATTTCCAATCTCTTGTTGTCCAGTTTTAATGAGTTTCTTCAGTTTCCTGTTCTGTGACATTAAGTGTGGTCTTCTGCTCGTGTAGATGATGAAGGTTTGATGTGTTGTGAACTCAAGGATGCTCTTCTGCATAACTTGGTTTGTAACCAGTGATTATATGAGTTACAGATGCCTTCCTATTAGCTCCAAGTAGTCTGGCCATTATCCTCTGACCTCCGGCATCAACTAGGCCTTTTCACTAGAGAGCAATGGCTCACTGGGCATTTTCTCTTTTTCAGACCGTTCTCTGTGAACTCCAGGGATTGTTGTGTGGGAAACTCCCAGTAGATCAGATTCTGAGCAGCAACAACCATGTCATGTTCAAACTCCCTTAAATCACCTTTCTTCCCCATTCTGATGGTCACATCAAACTTCAACAGGTCAGCTTGACCATGTCTACATGCCTAAATGTTACATGTAGTTGCTGCCACGTGATTGGCTGATTTAACATGTCGGTTATAAGCATTAAAAGGTGGCTGATGAGTCTACGAAGATATTAAAGACATGTGTGAATATAAACTGCAATAAAGTCATTAACAGACATGCTTTTAGCAGGAAAATGAATACAAGCTATAATTATTTCAGGCTTTATTATTATTTTATATAGTAACATATTCAGAATACGTTACTCTCATTGAGTAACGTAACGGAATACAATAAAAATACATTTTGGAGCATGTGTTCTGTAATCTGTAGTGGAATACATTCTAAAAGTAACCTTCACAACACTGGTCCAAAGATATCCATGTTAGTGTTACGGGTGGCTGTAAATTGCCCAAAGGTGTGAAAGTGTGCATGAATGGTTATTTATCACGCGATGGCCTGTTTAAGGTGTACTGCTCTGGAGGATCTGATTGAACTTCTATTGTATTAATATTCCTTCCTACAGTCCTTCGTTCTTTTTAACTGTCACTGCTTGAACCATGATCACTGGGTAGCAATAGCTACCAAGCTAAATAAAACACAAGAGCTACCTTTTTCCTATTTTAGTTGCAAAACTGAGCCTCTCGTACTGGGAAATTTACCAGCTGAGCCATTTATATATATTGTATTCAACTTTCTTTATAATTATAAATTAAAATTGCAACCATTACTAACAAAAGTATGCTAAAATAACAAGCATTACAGGAACTACTTAATGAGTCCTATTAGCTAACTGGCCCCTGCCATATGCATTCTATGCAGCAACACTAAGAGCATCTTTCTAACAGTTCAAAATGCGTAGCTATCCCATTTTATGATCAGCGTCTTTGCTGCACTGTGGTGCACTGGTGCTGTTAGATGAATCTGCGTTATGTAAGCTTGGAATCGGAGCATTTTGGAGTTCAACTCCAAACATCAGAAGCATTAAAGACTCCCTATTTTGCCACAAGCCCTTTTCTTTTAGACGCCTCTGAAATGTGTTTCAAATGACAGATCTGAAGTCAAAGGAAGGAAAGTTTTGGAGATGGATAGAACAGAATGAAACGCAGCATATTCAGCCAGTTTCAGGAAGAGCTCAGACCATCTGCTCACCAACGTGGCTGGAACTTCATTAAAGCCTCACGCCTGTTCCTTTCATCACTGCGTGGCTTTGCCCATAAACAAAATCTTGTCCATACAGGAGTGGTCAAATTGCCTAACATAGGATATGGTAGGCTTATGGTAGGCTTTGACCTTTTTTATTTCTGCACTGACAGTTCTGAAACCACACACACATACAGATGTGCACGATACAAATGGAGACATTTACAGCTCGTTCCACTGAAGCCTTTAAACCTTTCTAAGCCTTTTTAGCTCTGTAGCCTTTCTGGCCTCAGCTCTTTAAACAGAAGGCTGAATCGATTCCCATGGATTGCTGTGAATCTCAAGGCTCTGTAGGTTTTTGCTTCATGTGCGACCTCAGTCCGAGCCAGTGGCTTTAATGCCCAAAACACACACATACACAGGCACAGCAAAACCAAACTTTTCCCCCCAGGGTTTCCCAGCCCACTCTGAATAATTCACCAAACCTGCTTTGTTCATCGATCGCCCTCTCCACCTCTCGCTCACAAAGACACATCTTTCACTTAACACACACAGCCAGGAGCAGCATAATGGGCATCATTCATTATAATTCACCACCACTGTGGCTATTGTGTCTGCTAATACTTTCTACAGGCTCAACTTTATAACCCTTTGTAACCACTGGTATTGTTTTCAAGATCATTTCAAAGAAAAGAGCCAAAATGTCAAGTAGACTGGAGTAAACAATATGACTAACTGTCAGTGCCGAGCTATCAAATCAGCTTTTCTCTTTGCCTACATTGTTTTCACAGCACGCCAAAATATACCAGACTCCGCAAAAGCCTTTCCTGCCTCTCAAGTAGAGTCAAAAGCAATTATTAGGATTTAGATTCAGACCTGCTTTAATAATTCAATTTCAGTTTCCCCCAGACGCTTCAAGCCATTTCAATATTTAGCATAGACGTTAAAGCTCATAACGATCTTGCTGTTCTTTTGAAGATATTTTTGAACTTTCTCCAGCTGGCTCCCTAAATGATACGCTCTCACTTTCATCTCCTTTGTGCTGCTCCAAGTTGTCCCTTTATGTCAGCCTTAGACGTTTTCTCCTTTACATTCATCATATTCTAAAGACAACATCATTACCCATAATTCTTCAAGTCCCTGCAAGTTTTTTTTTTATTATCCTGTCTTCCTTTTCTCACCCCAACCGGTCGCAGCAGATGGCCCCGCCCCTCCCTGAGCCTGGTTCTGCCAGAGGTTTCTTCCTGTTAAAAGGGAGTTTTTCCTTCCCAGTTTTGTTGTGATTTGGCGCTATACAAATAAAATTGAATTGAATCTTCTGCGTAGGATGACCTTTGTGTTCGTGTGATTATACAATGCTTGCAACGCACTTCTCTTTCCCTTTAACATAAGATTATAGATTTTTTAACAAAATACTAATAAATAATCACTGTCCACCAAACTGTAGTAAAACTTGAAAGAGTGCAGTGCAAATGAGAAGTGAAACAAAAAAGTGTCATGTCTTGTCGCTGTGACCAACAAATTCCAAAATATGCAACTTTTACTTAGAAGGCGAACGTTCTCTGTTTTCAATTGGCGCTATACTTTTTACAGATTCAGTGCAGCTTTGCAAGTAGTTGGCAAGTGTTTGCAGTCAGGTTGGCATCTTGCACGCATGCTATTACTGACTGCGGCAACCTGCTTGTGACAAAAGCAACTGCAAGGAGGTTTTGGTGCAGCACCACATACCTCTTTGCGACCAGTTTCACATTAGAGTCTGCCAGCAACCTCTGCCAACCACTTGCCAACCTGTTGCAGAATAAAAACGTCTGCCTAGTTACCAGTGAGTCACTGACTGGTCTCTAGACCTATGGGCCCTCAGCAATTTCTGTTATTGTTAACAACAACTCACAACCAGTCAGGTAATGCATATTTTTCAGATAGACATCAAAGTCCAATCTGGATGACAAACAATGGTCTGAACTACACAGGAGACTATGTTATTTAATTTAATTCAATTAAAATGCTCTAAAAGGCACTAACACTACAAACATGGTGGAAACATCCAGTTAGTGAAGGTAACAGCAAGTACACAGCTGTCAGCTGACGCTAAAGCTGCCTATGTCAGAATGATGCTAACTAAAGCAGTCATTTTGCCATCTCCCAATAATCAGGAGGAGTAGTTATTTTACAAAATCACCAGGGAGAAACCATCAATAGAGACCAATATTGTTTTTGTATGAGGGTGTAAACATGCTGTAAAGCTTGTAAAGCTGTGTATTTTAACATTTAACAGTCTCTGGGGATCGGCTCATTTTTAAGCCAGCTTCAAATGGCCACTAAAGGAGCTGCAGTAGTTCCAGCTGGCTTAGTGAAAGTTTTTTTTCCTGAAAACATTTGGCTGCAAACCAGTCATCTACTGCTATCACCTGCTAACATATCTTAGTTATCAAATTAGCTACACATTCTCCCAAGGACCAGAAATGGTGAGCATGGGCTCCAGTCAACAATTATATTTGATTTATTAGGGGACATCAAGTCTGAGTGAAGTGTACGCTATATATGCTGTATTGCATATATAATTTATGCAATTAGCAGTAGTTTCTTACCATTTAGTTGTACTTGCTTACAGTGGATTAGTGTTATAATATTCTTGCAAGTGCAAGCAACTTCACTGCAGCGGGCCTTTATTCACACAGTTTCATCATGTGTATGAAAAAGAAGAAAAGTAGAGAGCAGTACAGTGAGGAGAAAAGTCAGATCATAAAAGCATATATTAGTAAAAGAGATGAGCCAATGTTTGCAGATACTGAGATCAGAAATGGTAATTCAGTGTTGGGGGGAATGACAGACCCCAGACTCCCAGCTTTGATTTACTCCACCCGTCACACCAAGGCCATGGCTACAGTCCAGTTGTGGTCTGTATCTTTATTCTTTAGGCAGAATCAGATAGTAATTGTCTTTCTCTATCACTAGCTCCAAGGGACTCACTTTCGGTACTTCATCCTGAAGGTTCAGCTTCACTAAAAATGCACTATAAATGAAAATAAACAGCTTGCTTGCAACAAATTAGTGCTTTTAGCTCAGTTTATGCTAATATTTAAACTTTGCTTTCTTATGCTCAGGCTCATGTACATTTTGCGTACCTACTTTCATTTAATATTTTAATAACTCGTTTTTCTAAATATATACAATTTGTCACGATTCGTTGTGTGGCAGGAGAAGGACCCAAGATGCAGATTCACAGACACGGGGATAAACTCAAAAAACACAGCTTTATTGCTGGCCACGAGAAGCAATACAAAATAAACTAAAACTGGGAAAACTAAAGCATGAGATCTACAAGGAACCGAACCACGGGGAGAATAACACACAACATGAGGGAGAACGCGACGCCGAACAGAGGGAGACGCAGACAGAAATACACAGAGGGTTAACGAGGAAAGTGGGAACACACGGGGAACACAGGTGACACTGATAATCATAACGAGACAGGGCGGGGTGAACTGAACATGACATGTACAGGCGTGAGAGTCACAAAGTAAACAGGAAGTGCACAGAGGTTCAGACAGGAGGAGAGAGCACGGGGAAAACACAGACATAACGGGCTGGGGAAACATGGAATAAAACATAAGGAGAGACGAGGGCTCACAGAGGGGCACACAGGGGGTAAAAGCCATGAAGGGAAAACACTTAGGGAACACCACAACAGGGCAACTCAGGAACATGGCCTAAATAAGGAACGAAATACAAAAATACAAGAAAACTAAGAACACTGGGCCAACATGGCCCAGGACCATGACACAATTACACACTGACAACTGAAAAGAATAATTGTAATGTTGCTTTTTAACCTTACATAAAGATTTTCTTAAATGTTATTTCACATATGCAGCATTTAATAATAATAATAATAATAATAATGGATTGGATTTATATAGCGCTTTTCAAGGCACCCAAAGCGCTTTACAATGCCAATTTAAAGTTGCAGTCAGTCATTTTTAAGGTTATTTGACAGAAAAAAAGAGTATTGTACTGACAGATATAACATAATTATGTATTACAACACATTGACGTGTTCTCATAAACTTAGAATCCATTAAAAATGCAAAGGAGAAGGCGCCAGTTAATGGAAGCCACCATGTTGTCCTGACATTCAATTCAATTCAATTTTATTTATATAGCGCCAAATCACAACATAAGTCACCTCAAGGCGCTTCATACATGAACTGACAGGAAGCCAGCTAAACAACAACAACAGCTAACATTAAGGAAGCTAATGTCAGGCTCGAGTGTGCTAAAAATACCCCTTTCCCTCTGATAGGCAGTTTGATTACATTCTTATATTGTATGAGAGTTTATTCTCTAAGCATCCAAGTTCAACAATATTAGGTCCAATAACGACAGTTTCACTAAAGGCAGCTAAAAGATGCTAACAGATGCTAACAGTAGCGAAAACAACAGCATTTACTGACAGAGAAGTTCAGGATATCCTCAAAAATTCACCTCTTTATTGCTGTAGTTGAACAGAAGTAAACTTCACTGACTCATCGACTCATATCAGACTCCTCCAGAGTAAATAATGTCAGCTGAGGTAAACAGCAGACTAACAGTCTACAATCACTACAGCCACAGTTGTTTGTCTTACAGTGACCGCCATAGCTAGAATTATGGATTTAAAATGGGAGGGGTGAGAAAACTGAATTCAGGAGAATGCAGTCTACAATCTACAAACATCTAGTGGTGACATTTTACACACTGTGCCTTTAAACTTTAATTGTAGTGAATGTATCATGTGGTTTCCAAAGTTCTGGCCATGAGCAGGGATAAGGTTTAGTTAGTGACCATGACCAAGACGACTCTGAGATTTTCTGACTCGGAGATTAAAGATTTGCTTTTGAGTTGATGTCCAAATGTTAATAAAAATAGTGTTTGCACTAGCCGTGCAGTGTGTTGGACATCTCTGTCAACTGATATGTAATGTTGTTGTTCGTTTAACTACTTTTAGCTTTCTACAGTAAATAAATAAAACCTTTCATGATCACATTTTTCTGAGTTGATTTATCTTAAACTCTAAACTAACATGCAAGCAGAGCTTGCTTACTTTGGAATAGTGTATTAAGTTTGAGTTTTATTCAACTATCAACCTTTGGCTCTTTCAAAATGGAAAAGCTCAAACCCCCACTTCCTTTAAAGAACACTTGAGGCTAATGTGAAAAACCAGTCTTTCCCCACAGACTGCAGCGTTAGACTCCAACCTTCAAGTATCACATTAACATGTTCAAAGCGATCAGGATCTCTATGGATAGTTTTCTCCTTTATAATACACAGAGAGTGATGTCTTATTAAAACTGTGGACTGACAGGCAAGGATATATAGATTAAGAGGCAGCTGTGGCAAATCAGTGCCTGCAATGTTTCACTCCACAAAGACTGGTCACTGAATTGGAGCACACCATAATTTCTTGAGGTGTTTGTGCCTTTTGAAGAACATCAGTTAGCAGTAGTCTCTGTGTTGCACATGTAGAGTTTATAGATGTTGATATTTAAAGTAGCTAGCGTTAACTGATGATGATAACTTGCTAATCTAAACATAGCAACTTCTGACTTCAAAATAAACTGCAGCAGCCAAAATGTTAAGGTTTTAGAAATGTGAGTCAACAAACCAGAGGGCAACTTCCATTTTTTATATACAGCCAGTGGTTTTATTACTTTAATCACCGGGACTCAAAATAAATGATAGCAGTTACAACATATAACTTTATTTAAATGAGGCAATAGGTTATTTTATTTAGGCAAATTAAGTAATTAAATGGTGCAGTAGTGTGCACTGTTGCCTCACAGCAAGAAGATCCTGGGTTCAAATGTGCCTTTTAACTGTTAATCCTAGATGTAGAAACACTTAAATAAAGTAGACCCTAACCCTGACTGGGATGTTTAATCTGCCACCTTTGATTTACAAGCCGTCTACTCTCACAAACTGTCACCAAAGTAAATATGTACTGAGTATTAGTCCATGCTTATGTTGTCATTTCGGCTCCTTGCTATATAAAAGAGTATGATTGCACTAGAAATTAAGTGTTTCACATAATCTGGTTCTTCGGCACGCATGTTAAGTAACAGCAGTTGAATGTGAATGGATCTACTTTAAGCAGCGTGCATTGGAAGAATACTTCTGCAGAGCGATAGTTTAAATCTTTATTTGGTTACTTTCCACAAGCCCTGACACCATCCGACTCCTTTCCACTTTGAATGATAAAGAAACCAGAGAAAAACGAAGAAAGTTGGACAGTGAGAGCTTTTCTGCAAAATTTGGCATACTGTATGTATATTGCATTATTACAGTTTTACAAACAAATGTACAACAAATACATCATAAATAGACTCTTATTGTGAGACAGCTTGCGCAGGGTTTTTTTTTCTTCTTTTTATCTTGTGCCCATATGGTGGTGGTCGTGTGAGCCATGGCTTCCCCTTATGAGGAGTACTCATACTCCTCTGCACTGCGGCGGCCGAAATCCATCCAGCCTAAGTAGTCCCTGTCTGCTATCCGGTGGTTGGCACTCGGTCCGACGCCTTTGCTGTTTGCCGTGGAGTTTCTGCGCACAGAACCTTGGAGGGGAGGAGGGAAAAAAGCGTGGGTGGAGGAGAGAAAAAGAGCATGAGTGAAATTAGTATTCCTCTGAGTGAGGAGAGCACGAGAGAAGCTGAGAACTTCTCTGCGATGAAATCTTACTTTTGATTTCTTATTTTGCATAGAGACGCTCCGATTTTCAAAGTAAGAGACATGAATCAGACTTTTAATTCCGCGAGAAGCTTGAGCAGGGCAGAGAGGTTTTTAGCACATGCAGGAAATTTAAAAATGTGGGAAACGCTGAGCAAATAAGTGCTCTCATAAACCAAGCAGTTTATAGACTCTGCACAAAAGCTCATTTTCAGGGATTTATCTTTTGAATATCTAAATTTGCATCTCTTTTCCAACTTTTTAAGGCACATTTTGTGCACTTAAGGGCACTTTGGCAGTTATCTGTGTTCATTACCAGCTTACAGCTTAATTTAATTCTTTATTTGTGCCTTCTAGAAGAAAAAGTGCGCACAATATTCGAAAACTGGCTCTCCGCACTGAGGATATTTGGCTGGTGAGCTGGGCTTTGAAAAAATGTTCTCATCTTCGCTTCATTTTGTGAGCGCTCTGCGGTAAACTGGGTGTCTTTTGGG